GCTGGGAGGCAGAGTGAGGAAGGAAGTTTGCTGTTTCTCATTGACTGAAAAATGCCTCCATAAAAAAAGTGAAGACGATGGAGAAAGAAGTCAGACACAGGTCCCTCTCATGCAGAAACACCTCCTTCTCCCAGTGCAAAGTTTGCTCTAGTAATGTAATAACCAACTTAGAACACGAGGGAGGGTTTAGAAGCATCCTGAAATAATTACTTCAAATTTTATCTCACGTTACTTTAAAGATGAATGTGGTAGGGCTTGGATTTCTTACTCTTCCTGCTTCTCTCATAGTTACTTAGTTAATATCGTTGAAGTTTCTATTATGTGTTGCAAACGGATGCCTCTCAGGGTTTTATACATCCATGGTTTTAGCACTGTGCTCAAGAGGCTTTAAAATGAAATCTAAAGTCATCCTTCTACAGTTTACAAAGGAGATACGAGGTACAACTATTAAGGAAAGGTGGATTTTGTTAAAATGAAACACAAATTAAAATATTTTAATTTTTAATTAAAATAAGTGTGTTTTAATTATTCATTGTTACAGACAAGAAAGCAAAAACAGAATTCAACAAGAGAAAAACAGATGAATAGCGAGGTGCCTTGTAATGGTGCCTTGGGGGGTCCTGGGAAAAGATAGAAACACTAGGAGCAACCAAATAGCTCTCACTTGATTGACTGGTTGGCCGAGGGTCTGGGGAGTGGACTTTCTCGTTTGCCCAGGACCTGCCCAGGTATATGCAGGCATACGCAAGGAAGGGTGTCTCCAGATGCCTTTTAGATGATGAAGAACCTATTAGCCAACTGGGACACGCCAGAGGAGAGGCTGCCCTGCCTGCTGCTCCTGCACCATTGCTGTCTTCATACTTTGTGTTTGAAATGTGCATCACTTACCCAGACCGAGAATTGGAATTGGGAAGTTGGCTGTTTTCACGCTAATTCACTTCAGCACCACAACAACCTGTTCTGTTCTCCCCATGTGCTGCGTGTGTGTGTCTTCCTGTCTTCATCATCTGGGCATCCCTGGGTGTGCTTGCCTCCAGCACCTGCCTTACATCTTCACAAAAGCTGGTACCCAGTGTTTAGTCGATATGTGTTTGCCTGGCTGGCTCACTTTGGGGGGGGATGCATTTTGAAACCCCCTGTTCCTCTTTCATCCTTTCCCCTAATACAACCTCGTAAATCAAAGGGCTTTACTATTCTTTCACTGTCTACCCTGTACCTGCTCTCTGTTCATTGGGAAATACATACAAAAAAAAAAAAAAAAAAAAAAAGGAAAAGGAAGAAAGATCCTAAAAAAATTCTTAGTGCTATTCTTTAGAAAATGATGTCAAAAGTACAGACTTTTTCCAATTCCAAACACTGAAATATTGTTTTCTGACAAGTAGACATTTATGTAGTAAGAAACCAATATAACGTTTGAAATCAGGACTGCTTGCTACTCCATTTGAAATCACATCATTGTTGGTGTTCAAAAATGACAAAGAGGGTAGTCTGTACTGCAACCCTCCCTCGTCCTCTGGAATCTGGTTCATCTACTCCTCTCTTGTTTCTCTTTCTCCATTGAGCGGTCACAGCCATGCTGCTCACCTTTTGGTCACTGGAACTAGACAAGCCCGGCTCTCCTTCAATCACCCTGCACTAGCCACTGCTTCTCCCGGCAAACTCCTTCAGATCTTTGCGGGGCTCCCCTTTCCTCATTCCCTTCCTCTCACCCTCACTGTTTTCATACATTATCTCTGAAAGATAAATCTCTAACCCAGCCCTGAGACACGGAACCTGGAGGCCAGATGCTTTCACACTCATTCACTCTCAGCACCATGGCAAACCTGTTCTCTGTCCAAATCTCACCGTCTCCCAAAGGACCTCGGTGATAGCCTCCATCTTGTCTCCACAGACCTTTACCCCAGACGCTCTTCACTTTCCTACCTTGCTTCTCCCCCAGCCTTACCTCTATGTGGAATTTATGTTTAGAGTCTGTCCCTATTCCCGCTGGGCCTCTCACTACCATGAAAGTTCCCGAAGGCTGGCCTTTGCCAGTTGTAGTCCTCCTATATCCGTACACCACAACAGCAGCTGGGACGGTGTAGGTGCACTCAAATCTGTGCAATCAATAGATGACCACGACTTACTGGCCACATGCTGATGCTCCGTCATGCATCCTGCATCTTTGGAACAGAGGACCATGTGACTCACTCTCGCAGTTCTACAGCCACTCATCCTCCAGATCAATGCACATCCCAAGGGAAACAGGAACTGAGAAACCTCCCTTCGGGCTGGATGGAAAGCGGAAATCAGACTATAGGGGGAAAAGAATAAACAGAACAGGGGAGAGTGTGGCGTGAATGAAGGCTTCTTTTTCAGGGATGAGGGCAGGCTTCAGTGCCCTTTGGAGAATAATGACCTTGATGACCAATAATTAGACTTGGTTATGCTACACATTCACTCTACAGCCTTGTGTCTCAAATGCCAAACCTATAAAGTGGCCTTTCCAGTGGCCATTGTTTTTAAAAGGAGTAACCTCTAGGGGTCTGATTTAACTGAGATCTGGAATGTCTCGTGCTTTAAAGCCTTGGTTCCAAGTGTCTTCCTATGGGAAGGTGACAGAATCTTTGAGAGTCACTCACTGTATTGAGAGGTCATAAAACCATTCTGTCTAGCCCATGAAGGGGACAGTGAGCCCCAGACTGTTCTTGCTGCCCTTGGTTCATATGCACAGCCTCTCCAGAAATGAGAAGCAACAGAGTCAAAACCGTGAAGTGTGACCTCAGAGCCACGAGTCAAAATTAGCCCTGTCTTTTAAGAAGCTGATTAAGCTCAGGTGTTTGCTACAACAATAGAAAGCTAACACATGGGCCATAGGGGAAGGGATTTTCTGCACCATTTATGAAGATTATAAAATTCTACTTGGCCCTTCTCACTGAAAAATATTGAGGTGGATAAGACTTATCTTTGAGAACCAACACTGATAAGAAGTCAGGTGTGTGGCATTGTCTGAGTGATAAAGTCAGGCTTCTCAGCTAGCAAGACCACGGATGGTGGCCCTTTTCAAGTATTCCTGTGTCAAACAACAACAACAACAACTTTATCAACTAGAGATGGGCAAGGGGCCCTCTAAGCTTGCAAAGAAAGAAATGTCGGAAGGAAATGCCAGTTCTGTCCCCTAGGAAAGGGCAGGGCCTTCACCTGAGAGCTGTCCCTCCCCGGTGGAAAAAGAAGAGGTTGCCTCCAAATGAGCGCTGGGGCTATAGCTGCTAGGCTGTGTTTTGAACAGAGGTAACACGATGGTTAAACTTCAAGTCCTGCCAGCCATTTACTAATCACATGAGCCAGGTCGGTTAGTAAACTTGGGCCTCCACTGCTTCACCTGTAACAGGAGGGCTCATTACCAAAATGGCCCTCAAGTAGAGCCCAGAGGATTGGGTTAATATGTGCAAAGTGCTTAGGACAGGGACTGTAATTACAGTCCCACTAGCAAAGCCACATGCGTGCCTCAAGCCTTGTGCTATTCAACTTCTGTCTCCTTCCATTCTGATGCAACTTTAAACCAGGACTGGATTTTCTTTCCGTGTAAGTCTGCTCACACAGAAGAAAACATGCTCAGCTTAGAAAGTCGCAGGAGGGTCCATCCCACAGCCTGCCATGTCTAATGGGTCAATGACTTTGGGGTGTGGCTGGCATTCCTCCACTGCTGGGTAGCAGAGACAAGGCACTGGTATGCTGGCTGAGGATTTCTGGGCCAGGGACTGGTTAGTTTTGTTTTGTCTTCTGTACATTGCATTCTGGTGCCTAGCTCAACCTTAGGTTTGTCGTTGTTGTTGTTGTTTGTTTGGGTTTTGGTTTTGCTTGTGTTTTTGCAATGGAAAAGTAAACACTTAGGGATCATGGGCCTGAGATCTCAGTCTCCAAAGCAGAAGGCCAGATCGCTCTCTGCTAGGTTTCTTCCCAATAGTGGTATATTCTGTGTTAGTTCCCTCTCTGTCCCAGTCCAACAGGAAGGACTAAGAGCCCCCAGCTGCTGTCCCTGTGTCCCTGTTGTGGGCAGGTTTGCATGAAAATATAAAATACCTTTTGAAATATGGCGGGTTTAAACTTATAGGAACAAGAGAGTTGAAAGCATCCATTCAAGGGCCGTCAGTGAGCCTCAGCAACTTGAATTCACGTTCTCAAAAAAGCCTCTTAAGTATTTTTCCTGCCTGGGACTCCATATGGAATCCTGTGGATTTTTAAGTGGCACTCTGGAAAGGGCTGGAGCTGTTTGCTGCTGGTACCCTTCGGTGTGGTGAAGACATACATGTTCCCAAAGATCCCTTCCCTCTGGCATCTTGTTGGGTAGACTTCACCTTCCAGAATTGGCGGATTTATATGTTTTTAATGCTTACGATATCATATTCTACTTTATTCTTAGTTATTTAATTGATTTTTCTCCAGACCAATCACAGATTTATAATTTCCTTTAGTTTTCCAGAGAACAGAGAGCAAGCAGGGGGACGACAAGTGGGTACAAAACTTAACACACCTTAAACGAGTTGTGGGACCCGCTCAAGGTAGGGGAGGTACTTCAGAAGTTCCATAGTAAACGAACTCTGAGATGTCCCGCTATGGCTTGGGTTACAGTTATTGTAGCATTTCCTGGTTGGCCGAGAAAGAGAACCAAGAATTACAATGTTGTCACCTTGGGAACGTGCAGTTTAAGAGACACATACGCAATTTTCGGAGAACTTGAAGATGCAATCAACCCATTCTGAGTTTTTAAAGAAGACTCTTCCTGTATGGAGTCTAAGAAAGAACGAGGGAGCCTCAATAAGCTTTGGGCTGGCACAGGAGGTTGAGATAGACGCTTGTGCTGGAGATGATGTCGCAAGTGCTCTGTCTTCAGATTCCTGCCCTGCATTGACTAAGAGGACAGGGGTATGCAGGCTTAATGTGACTTCATGCTGTGTCCTGGTGACAGTTTTCCCCTGGCTTCTGGCCCAGCCTAGAACCTCTCTCCGCAGTTTCCTTCCTCCCCAGGAAAGGAGAAATAAGCGAGAATTGAGTCGAGACTAGGAAGCTTCAGTTTGAGGAAGACTTGGATCTGTGAGCAGCTGAGTGAGGACGGAGGCAAGTTGGCTCAAGAGAATTGAGTGAGGGTACAGAGGCAGAAGGCGCACCTAGTAAAGGTGAGTGTGGGGACCCATCGAGAATGGCTGGTTCAGAAGAAAGGGCTCGGGGACGGGGTGGGTGCAGCGACACAGGACCTGGTAGGTTGAGGGGGAGCTGCGGTAAGGTATTACAGAGAACTGAGGCACCCAGGTCTGAGCCAGCGCGACGTGGGAGTGTGACGCTGCCGTGGCCGAACAGGTGAGCGGCTGGGGCTCCGGGTCCCCGCCCTTGCCTCCTCCTACCGATTCTCCACCGCACTTGGCGGCTCCGCGGCTCCTCTCCGGTTGGGGTTTGGCAACTGGCAGCTGGCTTTTTTCCCTCCTCCCCTGTCGAGGGCTCTCCTTCTTCTTTTAGGTTGCTCCACCCCGCCCAGGATCAGGCGAGGGGGAACCAGTTCAGCAGCTGCCAAGTGGCGCACAGCGCGGCCGCGAACACGGGAAGTGGAGTCCTGGGTGCGCGCTGCCGGGCGTTTGCTTCTCCCGCGCCCCAGCGACCTGCGTCCTCCCACTCGCACCCCTTCTCCACTTTTCCCCCCGTTTGCAATCACATGGCATTTTAAGAATGCTGGAAAGATGGCGGTAGCGGCGGCGGCTGTGGTTGCGCCGGCTGGCGGGGGAGGCGGCCGGGCGCAGCGGAGTGGACTGCTGGAAGTTTTGGTGCGGGATCGTTGGCATAAAGTTCTGGTGAACTTGAGCGAGGACGCCCTGGTGTTGAGCTGCGAGGAGGGCGCTGCGGCGTACAACGGCATAGGGACTGCCACCAATGGCTCGTTCTGCAGGGGCTCCGGGACAGGGCACCCGGGTACTGGTGTCACTCAACCCCCGGACTCTCCGGCCGGGGTCCGCACAGCCTTCACCGACCTTCCGGAGCAGGTGCCTGAGTCCATCTCGAACCAGAAGAGGGGCGTGAAGGTGCTGAAGCAGGAGCTGGGCGGGCTGGGCATTAGCATCAAAGGGGGCAAGGAAAATAAGATGCCCATACTCATCAGCAAGATCTTCAAGGGGCTGGCAGCGGATCAGACCCAAGCCCTGTATGTGGGCGATGCTATCCTGTCGGTGAACGGAGCAGACTTGCGGGACGCCACCCACGATGAAGCCGTGCAGGCGCTGAAGCGCGCAGGCAAGGAAGTACTGCTGGAAGGTAAGGGGTTAACGCTGTGCGGGCCTTACCCCGCAGCATGAACCTTCTTCAACCCACCCTTACACTCACACACGGGGCCACTTGCCAGTAGTGCCTATGTTTTGCCAAAGCAGCGGCGGGCATGGACTTTTGACAACTTTTACCACCTGGGGGCAACTGGTCTCCACCCTGGCTCTGCCCCAGGGTGCTGTACTAAAAGACCAGACTGCCTGGGTTTTCTTGGCTTGAATGGGGTGCTTTAGTCCACGGTGTTGGAAGCTTCGTACATATCGGTGCACGTGGTTTCATTTCGTTTTATTTTTTTAATCTGCGGACGACCCAAGTGCAGTGTAGAGTCTGGGGAGTGGAACTGGAAATGGAGAGTTAGACGGGAATTTGCGTCTGTCCACATGGTAAAGCAAGGCCACTGACTCATGGCATCTCTGGCACTTTTTCTACTTCGGCCAAATTTTCGCAGCCTGGGCAATCCAGTGGTGAAGATTGGAAAGGTAAAGAAACCGGAGAGAGGTGGCAGTATTTGAATGCTAATCTCAACCATCCTTCTCCACTTCCCTCCCCTCCGGCTCGAGGGTCCGTGAGGCTGTGCAATTTTGAGCAGTGCCAAAGGCTGGGAAAGATGTTGCAGATTTAGGCACACGGTCACTTCCCCAGCAGGGTGTTCAGCCGGTCAGTCCGGATTCCAGGTTCCTCTGGGTGGAGAAGCTGGTGAAGTGTTTTCTTTTTTTCTTTTCTTTTTGGTTTTTTGTTTTGTTTTTTTGTTTTTCTGCTTGTGCCTCCCAGAGTAATGTGGAATTGACTCTGTGTTTGTAAGCAGCAGTCCCTGCCCATGAACGTGAAGAACCTTAGAAACTATATCTGAAGATCTAGGGTCTTCACACTCTGATCATTCAATGGACCAGGAGTAGGAATTACCAGTTTCCCTGGTACAATATGGGGGAAGAAGGATCTCTGCAGCCTCCCTCTCCCTAGAGCTCGGTTTTTCTGGCTCTGTGACTCCTTGCATACTTTCACCTGCCCTAACATTGCGGAACAATTTCATCGATTTTTCTCAGTTTCATTTTAACTACAGACTGAGCTGTTTGGAGGTCTTTTACTTATATCGAGGGCTCTCCAGAGCTTGCAGTGTCCAGTGGCATACATGCAGGAAGAGTTAACTAACAAACTCAGTGATTGAGACAGTATAGACTTTATAATACAGTGATTGGCTTCAACCCTTAAACTAGGATGTAATCGGTTCCCTGTTCGCCCAACTGTGGTGCTGGCGTGTGACGGTGGGAAACCAATGACAGCTGATGCAGCTTCAAAGTGATGTGATGGTCTGACTCCTGACCTGAAACCCCAAGAGACTTTTGTTGTTTGTTTGTTTGCTTAGAGGATTTGTGATGTCTTCATATTTAATTGCCACCTCTGATTCCAGAAAGCAGAACGCTGTTTGGTTTGGCTTGATGATTAACATAAGCAAACAGGAAAAAAATTCTTGTTCAAGTGTGTATTGGTTTGGGTGACAAGGGCCAGGTAGGATCTGGGGAGAGTGTAATTTGGACTATAAGCTTCTGGTCACCTGTCTAGTTTGTGATCTTTACTGACAATATGGAGGGAGGAGGTGACAGAGACAGCTCGTATTTTATGTCAGGCACTGCCCCTGAGTCCATTCCGTATTCCTGTCTTTGATTTCAATTTAATGAATAAAAACTTGTCAAGGAGCTTAGAAGTGACTCTTTCGCCAAAAGAGGAAGAAAAAGTGACTGCTGGAGTTGAAAATAAACTTAGAAAAAAAGTGTGTGTGTGTATGTGTGTGTGTGTGTGTGTGTATACAGGTATGTATTCTGTGCATGTGTGTATGTATGTGTATGTGTGCATGCATGTGTATGTGTGTGCATGTGTGGACATGTGTGTATGTGTGTATGTGTGTCTATGCATGTATGTTTGTATATGTATCTGTGAATATGTATGTGTGTATTGTCTGTATGTGTGTCTATGCATGTATGTGTGTGTTGTCTGTATGCATGTGTGCATATGTATGTATTATGTCTGTGTGCATATGTGTGTGTCTGTGTGTCTATGCGTGTGTATGTATGTGTGTGTGTGTGAAAGGGTTGTGCACTTGTTAAAGACAACTAAAAAATGAGTTCTGTAAAAAGCTCTCCAGTGACATTTTAAAGATCACTGCATCATGTGTTGCAGTCAGAACACCTAGGGGAGACTTGGGGTTTCCTAGGCATTGCTAGTCCAACTCTTCAGTACTTGACAGCAAGTAAGAGATGTCCATGGGAGAGGTATGAGTTAAAACAACGCCCTCTCTTACCCTCACTTCTTACTTCTTCCTTCCTTCCCACCTCACCCAACTAGACCTGGAGCCTTGTCACCTGCACACTGTAGGCTAGCACTCTACTACTGAGCTTCACCCTCAGTCTCCACTCACAGTGCCTCTCGTTTGAAGCCAAATGTTTGCTGTCCTCCAGGGTCCTCACTGAGGCAGTAGTGGGCCCACACCATCAACCCAAACAGCATAGCCCTCCCTTTGCCATTTGGTGCCAAGCAAGGGTTCCCCATGAAGAGGCTTATTAAAACCGCCTCCAGAACTTTCTGCATTCCAATAACCTAGCAGAGTTTCTGTGACTTCTTGTGCAAAGAGAAAGCAAGGCAAGTGTCAGCGCTTTGCTTCATAGAGTGAAGCTGTGCAGCAAGGAGAACACAAGGCATGCAAGTACTCTCTCTGTATTTGTACAGTTTAAATAAAATGCAGATGAAATGCCCGTTCAAAATCAGGGATCCATTCTTCTATCTTATTGGAGTTATGTCTTAATTTGATCCTTTTAGAAAAAAAACTATTTTGGCTCTTGATTTCTGATATCTATCTATCTCTATCAATCAATCCATCTATCTGTCAGTCTGTCTGCCTGTCTGTTTGTCTACCTATCCACCTACCTATCTATCTGCATCTAAACTCTAATACTGAGAGACCATTTCCTCCAGAGCCACAGGAGTTAAACATAAGGGAAAGAGGCTTACAATAGCTCACATTTCTTGAGCTCATTCCGTTTGTGCCAAGTTCTACTTTCACCTGCTTGGCGACTCCATGAGGCCGATACCATTGTTGCTCACTTTCTTAAAGAAACTAAAGTCGTATGGCATCTACCTAAAGCAACAATAACATAGCTAGGAGATCTCCAAGTCTACCTGATTCCTGAGCTCAAATAATCTCTAGGTAAGGATGATGGCCTGAACTTCACCAGGGAACCATGTACGTGAACCAGTTGATGTCACTGGGCTCCTGGCGTTTTCTCCATTTCTTACATATGGTGAAGTGGTTGACAATACCCTGAGCAGGAATAGCCATTGTGCAGTATACTCAGATGGGAAGAACAAGAAGAAGGATGGGGTTTTGTAAATGCACCAAACATCTGACTATCAAAAGAAAACTACTCTGAGACAACAGAACTCTATGAGATGAAGTTGAACACGTGGCTAACCAGGAGTTCAAGCCCCAATTCTGATTTAAATTGTGAATCAGCCATAGCGAGTAAACCAATATGTTAACCAAGTGCTCATTAAAGTTAAGATCAGAAAATTTTTCTGAACTTATTTCTCATTTTAAGGAGAGGAAGCAGATATCCCATATGCAGTCATGTAAGGTAGAGCCCTAAATCCCGAAGGGCATCATTCACATAGACTACAGCGTGATCAAAACCCTGTGTTGCTGGGCAAGAGGTACCTACATAGACATCCTGGGCAGTTCTGGATGCGAGGAATCCCTTTATTCTTATTGTTTAATTGGGTTTGGTTATATTGTGTGTGTACGTATGCATGTGCGGTATATATGTGCCATGTGTCAGTGTACATGTGTGTAAGCAAGAGTTCAACATCAGTTCTGCTCTTCAGAGACTCTCCACCATAGTTCTCAAGACAAGGTCTCGTCTCTGAACCTTAACTCGCTGATTTTCCATGGCTGGCTAGCCAGTGAGTTCCAAGGACCCTCACATCTCTGCCTTCTCAGCGCAGGGATTGCGGAAGTGTTCTGCCATCCCCAGGTTTTTACCCAGCTACTGGGAAACTGAACTCAGTATAACATGTCTACAGGCACGCAGTCTTCCTACTGGACTACTGCCTTCCCAGCCTTTGCATTTCATGTGTGCGTGAAATAGTAAGGAAATGGGTCAGCATTTTTGTAGCGGAAGTAGCCATCAAATTAATTCATCCATAATTTTGTCAAGCTAGAGGAGACAAGTTTCTGGAAGTTTTGTGCTAACATATGGAGGTAGGGGTAGACAGACACACCACTTGTTGAAATGGTCCCTGTCGAATTAGACCAGGAAAACGAGAAACTCAGAGGAAAAAGTAAAGGACAGTTCTTGACAAGAACTGGGCCCTGAGGCTCCTTTATCAGCTGTGTGTCCAGGAATGACTGAATTCAGAGCTCATCTGGGAAGTCTCTCTGTAATCCCTTTCTCTGGTGATGGGAAAAAGGACGGTGGGACAAGAAGACGGGGATTACACCAATAGGTGGTGCTTTTTCTGGGAGGATTGGAAAAGCATCCAAACATTAAGAATTTTGCTTTGTTAAGTGTGACGATTTGAATGAAAATGGCCCCCATAGACTCATGTATCTAAATGTTTGGTCCCCAGTTGGTGAATCTGTTTTGGGGAAGGATGAGGAGATGTGATCTTCTTACGGGAGGTGTGTCACTGGGGGCAGAACTTGGGCTTTTAAAACTGCACTTCATTTCCAGCTAATTCTCCCTTAGCCTCATGCTTGTGGATAAGATGTAAGCTCTTAGATACTGCCCCAGTCCCATGCCTGCCTCCTGCCCTGCTCCCTACCATGATATTCAGGGACTCATCCTCTGAAACTGTAAACAAGCCTCCGAATAAAGTGCTTCCTTTTATAAGTTGCCTTCCTCATTGTATCTCCTCACACCAATTAGTTTGACTCTTCTCTGTGAACACTTTATGGCTATACTATAGCTCATTGGATACCATTGGTTTTTTATTTTGTTTTG